TCTTTCCATTCACATGGTAATATCAATTCAGCACTCTTAAATTTGCTTCCAGGGGCCATTGCCTAAAATTTTTAGAAGTACAGAGAAGTTTTAGTTATCATATTGCATTTCTGTGAATTTCTTTTGTAAAAATAACAGTTAAGATTACAGGCTCCTAGATGACATGGACATTTCTTTATTTTGTTCGTTTCTTTTCTTTTTTTTTTTTTTTTAATTACTGGATACATTATTTTAAGAATCTAAGGCCATATTTTGCAAACATTTACACCTTGCCAAAAGCCACAAGTTGTAACATTTTCATTACAACCATACAGTAAGAGTCCTATGATCACCATCCCAAACATCTGCTGAGGATGCCTTCATTGTAATTTAACTCCACGGCAGTACTGTAAAATCTCTTTCCACATAGAAAGCCAAAGTAACCATTACCCAGAGTGCAATTCCACAGTTACTTTAGCCTGACATCAGTGTGGGCTCCCGCTGAACAGGACTGATTCCATCCACCCCTTCTTGTTCTTCTCAAGATCCGGCTCTGGAATTGGCACAGCAAGCCACTAAACTGATGAGAAAACTGATCCGACTGAAAGCTAATTCTTGGGGTGAATGATAAGACAGATGGCTAAATCGGGTTTCTGCTCAACTGGATGCATGTTTGTATCAGTATAAAGGAAGCAACAGTAACATAAACTAAGGAGAAGTAGTTCCACTGTTTTTTTCCTGACTCTGAACAGATGTAACAATACCAAACTTTATTAAAAACTACTGGCCCGTTCTCGGTGGTTTTCCACCCCCCTACTCTTCCCTGTATTACTAGCTTCAAAGATCTGCCAGTTCAGCTGCTCAGAGGACCACTCCCTAACTTGCATTATTCCCAGCAATCTGGATTAGTTTTAGGAGTTTAAATAGCCTCCAACCAGATCAGCTGATGGATCTCAATCAGCAGCAGACTTTGGAAGGAAGATGGTAACAAGCAGCTGGGAGGAGGTTCTTCATTTTCTCATCAACACATACAGATCTGGAAGACAAACTCTGTCCAACAGCCTAAAGCATCAGTATAAAAGTCTGTGTCTTCCCTGATGCTCTTACTGACTCTACTGATTAAAAAAGTCAGGCACCGACATAATACTGGGTTAAAAAAGTGGAAGTGGAAAAGCTTGCAGGAATCAGTATGCCAACTCAATGATGTTAAGCACTGTCAACATAACTGGCAGTGTCTTTGTACTTTTGGCTACTAAAAATACCAATTTGGAAGCATTCCCCCACCGGCAAGTTAATTACCAGAAAGCTTCTGAGAGAACTGGTCATCTTGTATTGCAAGCGGGACTCTTCTCACATTGTAACAGTTTAATCTAAACTGCTGCAACCAACCCTTTTATTTCACCCACGCCCCGTCTTACTGACCTGAAGCAGGAAATGCTAGCATCCCTAAAGACAGGCTGAAAGGTAAGACGACTACCATTTATGCTACACATTAAATAATCCATTGTCAAGTACTTTATTAAAGTTATTCCAGGCACAGTATTAATAATACTGGAACAAAATATTTCAAGTTATAATTATTCTAATTGACCAATGCTGGTATCCACAATATCCTAACAAGCAGACTAGACTAGAGGCAAAAACGACCAGAGAGAAAACTTTGGCAGCGACCTTGAAATCCTCCTGTCCGTAACGACACGCACCCTCAGCGCCTCCCCCTTCCGCCGCTGTCTCTACACCCCACCTCAGCCACCCACAGACCCCCCGCTACCTCTACACGCCCACCTCAGCCGCCCTTAGCTGCTTACGGCCGGGGGGCGGGCGGGAAAGCAAGCCCTTCCCGGGCAGAGAAGCTCTCCACACGCCTGACCGACGGCACTAACCGACCCCGGGCGGAGGGGGGGGGAATTGGAGTCGGGGAGGGACGCTGCATTGCGAGACCGGCAAGAACGCGCACCTGCGCCGGCCGCAGGGGTGCGCATGCGCAGAAGCCGCCCCCAATGCGGGGAGCT